TCACATTTTACAGACCAGTGAGGAGACAAGTTCTACGTTTCCACTAATGCCTACTACTGCCTGGCGCCGTGACACTAATTTAAGGAGGTTATTGGTGCATACGGGTGAAAGGGGAGACCCTGAGAAATATGGTTCTGTCCCGTGTAATCGTCCTAGGTTATTGCAAATTTGCGCAATTTGGGCCCAGTTTGTTCTTACAAGTTTTCTATTTTTCATTTATCATTATTTAGTAAACAGGCTCGTGAAAAGATTTAATATATCTGTAAAATACGTGCCAACCGACGACTGACTTCGAAACGTTCGAACAAACTCTCGGCACACCTTGCGCGATATGCGTTAGATCGGTGTAGAAGACGCCGACCTGCAGCGTCAATGGTTACCGGCCTCTTGTGGCTTGGTATGCCATGACACTTGAGGCGGGAACCAGCAAACCACACTTAACGCCATTCGCAAAGGACGCCGGGAACCAGCGAAACTTAACTCCAGCAACGCCGACAGCCACGCCAGGGGGGATTGGCACGAGAGGGCGCCGTCCGATCTGAATGGAACGTTTCGAAGTCGGTTTTCCGTTGCCCATCGTCAAAGCAACAACGTCCCTTTTACGAATAATTTCAGCGATTTCTTTACAGAATAATCCTCAACAAAACATAGAAAAAATACAGTCTCTAAAATTATGTCTATTGCAATACAATTCAACCGACAGCCAGTTTGACACTGCAATAACTTGCTGGAGTTCTATGCGTGATTTTATTGCGTTCAAATTGTTTCATTTCAAACTGCACATGCACATACACACTATGGTTTTTCGAAATGCATACTAATTAGGTAACTTGTCACTGACAAAAGTCACTGAAAACATTTTGAGCAATTTTGTGTAATAGTACTAGTCTAGTGAAATATAAACGTGCCTCTGCATTCTCCATAAATGTCGTAACTTGCTATGATCAGGGTAAAGAAAAAACTGTTTGTTGAAGTCTGATCAAAATCGTCTCTCAAAAACACCTTTACGTCCGTTTTTCGATTATTTTTTCAGCTCGTAACAATAGAACCAGTCAATTTAGAACTATCATGTATGCTATCGGAAAGCATTTTGGCACAAGTTTACTGAAAAGGTATTTTTTTAGGTGATTGGAAGGTATCTAAGAAGTCACCGGCGGTAATTAGTGAAAGTCGCGCCCAGGTCAAACCTCATACTTGTGATTTCCATTAGAAGAGCGCGTTGGATTATGGGAAAATCAATGTATATCAACACAAATGTCGCACATGCGCAGCGCGACGACCGCCGTCCTTTAACAACATATACTATTACTGTTATTACGTTTATTGTATTTTATAACAACCTTCGCTGAGTATGCTGATGTACTTGTATAGCCAAATGCCATTTCCATTGAACTTGAGTCTCATTCTCAATGTAAACGGCGTAATTCGCCGGGGTTGTCGCGTTTCGCTTTCGTGTAATCATATATATATATTCGTTCGATAAACAATGTTCTACCGAGAGACCCAGACAGATATGATTCTGTCCCGTGTAATCGGCCTAGGTGTAATACTTGTACTTTCATTACAGATTCTAATCGAATATTTGGTCCCAATGGAGATGTTGTGATCAATAATGCTTTTAATTGTATCACCATTGTTTATTGCATTTCATGTAATAAATGCGGGGAACTTTATATTGGTTCTACAGTTCGTCGATTGGGTGGTCGGTTTGCTGAGCATCTATGACAAACTTGACAGAAAAATCGTTTTTATCCGGTTTCACTTCATTTTAATTCCAGTGGACATAACATTGTAGATGTGTCTATTTCTGGTGTATGTGTTGTCAATGGCAACAAGAATCAGCTCAGGCGTGTCGAAGAGAAAACTATATCCCGTTTTGAAACTAAATAACCTCATGGA